ACTGAACAGACAGATCTCCAAATGCATGCGGCGAGACTTCCGCAACTTCAATACTGCTCGTATTGAAGAAGCGATCGAGCGGAACCAGGGCTTTAAAGCCCTTGCAGCCAGAGATCTGTCTGCCAGTAAGAGCCAACTGTCAAAGCTGAAGACTGAGTGTGGCAGCATCGTTTGCGGGACGCCTGAGATTCTGAGTGAGATTGAGAGGTTCTATGGGCAGCTGTACACATCATCGTTGGAGCCATACGCAAGTGAGTAACGATCCAAGAGCAAGTCTTATCCGAAACTATTCCGATGATATCCCCGACGTCAGTCTGAGCGAGATTAGAATGGCTCTCCACCACCTTAAAAACGGCAAGTCCCCGGGCGAGGATGGAATTACAGCGGAGCTTCTAAAAGCGGGTGGAAAACCGGTACTTGAAGTCCTTCAGAAGCTCTTTAATTCCGTCCTCCATGGTGGCATTACTCCCGAGGCGTGGAGTAGAAGTGCGGTGGTTTTGTTCTTCAAGAAAGGTGACAACGACCTCTTGAAGAACTACAGACCCATAACCCTTCTGAGCCGCGTCTACGTGCTGTTCTCGAGAGTCGTTACGAATCGTCTCGCACGCAGACTCGACGACTTCCAGCCTTCCGAACAAGCCGATTTCCGAAAAGGATTTAGTACCATAGACCACATACGTACCCTTCGGCAAATTGTAAAGTCCGAAGAGTACAATCTGCCACTTTGCCTGGCGTATGTGGACTATTAGAAAGCCTTTGATCCGTCGCAATTTGGGCGGTGCTACAGTCTCTTCGGCGGTGCCAAGTTGACTGTCGGTATATTGAAGTGCTGAAGTGTTTGTACAGTAGGGCTACGATGGCCATCCGAGTACAGAACCAGAGTACGAAACCTATCCAACTGCAGAGTAAGACAGGGTGACGTCATTTCCCTGAAACTCTTCACCGCTGCATTGGAAGACGTTTTCAAGCTACTGGACTGGAAAGGATACGGTATTACCATCAATTTTTTTTTTTTTTTTTTTTTTTTTTTTTTTTTTTTTTTGGTGAGGACCTTCGATTTGCCGACGATATAGTCCTTATGGCAGAATCGCTGGAGGACTTAAGCACTATGCTCAATGACCTCAATAGTGCCTTTCAACGGATAGGTCTTAAGATGAACATGGACAAAACAAAGATCATGTTTAATGTCCATGTCACACCTATACCGGTATTTGTTGGGAGCATTAAGCTCGAAGTTGTTGACGAGTACGTTTACCTGGGACAAATAGTCCGACTAGGTAAGTCCAACTTCGACCGAGAGGTCAATCGACGGATTCAACTCGGCTGGGCAGCGTTCGGGAAATTACGACGCATCTTCTCGTCAGGTATACCTCAAAACCTGAAAACTAAGTTGTACAACTAGTGCGTGTTGCCAGTGATTACCTACGGAACCGAGACGTGGTCCTTCACTGCTGAAGGCTATGCTCAGAGTTTCTCTGCGTGATAAACTTAGAAATGATGATATCCGCAGTAGAACCAGAGTGACCGACATAGCCCAACGGATTAATAAGCTGAAGTGGCAATGGGCAGGCCATATGGCTCGAAGAACCGACAACCGTTGGGGAAGAAGGGTTCTCGAGTGGCAGCCTCGTACCCGTAGAAGAAGTGTAGGGCGACTCCCACTAGATGGAGTGACGACCTGCTAAGACATGCAGGAAGTCGATGGATGCAGGTGGCTCAGGACCGCTTTGTGGCATACCTTGGGGGAAACCTATATTCAGCAGTGGATTTGTGAAGGGCTGTAATGATGATGATGATAGTAGTCTCTGGTTTAAATTAAGAAGTCTTTCCAACTGGAAACTTCTTTAGGAAATTTGACTTGTGCTGCAAATTCTATACTTTACATTTTAGTTTGCATATTTCCGCGGGATTTCTTCATTAAAATAGACTAGTATTAATCTGTCACTACCTAAAATAGAGAGATATACTATACATAGAGCCGTGGTAGCTCAGGGGTTTAGCGTTGGCTGTGAATTTCACAGTATTCACAGCAACCTGGGATCGATCCCCGACGGCACCAATGAAATTGTTTATTGCAATTTTAAGAGCTGATTTTATCTCGTGCTCGGTAATGGGGGGTAGAGGTAGAGGGTAATGGTAAAAAAATCTGCATATCTGAGAAGTAAAATAAAAATATTTCTAAGATATGTGAAGTTCGCCAACTCGCATTGGGGCCCTAAAACCCTCTCAGAAGTGAGAGAAGACTTGTACCTGGCAGTGTGGCGTATAAAAGCTGTATTTACTTTTATTAAGAAAAAACTTCTTTTTGTAATGAGGCGGTATGACTTCAAAACAGATTCAGCTCGGCAAAGAGTTCAATAGATATAAATTGTATAAAGATATTAATAGTTACTTTGCAACCATCCGCTCTGTTTAAATAAAATGATGTCTTACCTAGTTTGAAGAGCACCTCCCGCCCTCCCTCAATTGCGTGCACTAATCTCGTCACAGTCAGAGAACTTGATAATGGGCTGTAATGATGATCATAGTAGAAGAAAACCTGTCTGCTAAAAGGATATATAACGTATATCCTTGCTCTACATACAATCTATGACTTCAGGAGATAAAATTAAATTAAGAAATTCAGCTATCAAAAATCATACAAACAATAAAATTCTCATCTTAATCACTGTAAGAACTCTAACGAGACAACTATAAATTTAAAATTGGGACGCACGTGTCACAACACAAGCTGAAAGGCTTCGCGAAACAAATGATTGTAACGCGAGTGACATTACGCAGTGACGAGAGTGGCTCTACGGTTTAAGTACTTACTTCATGAATGTGTATGAGTAATCAATTATCCTGGCGAACCCCGCGGGGAATAAATTAGGAAAGCTTTGTAACGTCACGCAATAATAATAACGATTCGTGATTTGATTCTTCATTATATTACTTTTACGTTTCTTTTGGGCCAAAGCGCATGTGATGCTTTTGTCACCAACTATTAACGATTTGTAGCTGCATAGATGTTTCATCGCGTTTTGGCAGCTTACTAAAGCTATTTGATGGTTAATTGACATCGCGCATTTTAGCGATTGCTTTGATGTTGGCTGCGATGCGTTTTGACCACGTTTCAGTTTTCTTCTATCTCCTTATACCATACATGATATTGGGTAGTAGACACGGCACATTTATTTATAATCATTCAAGAATTAACATCCCTAAAACAGAAACGTACACCTCTATTTCGTTTATATTTACGATAATGCATGATTATGTATGAAAACACAAAAGTTACGACATTAAAAATTTATGGAGATACTTAGAGGCAACGCGGTGTCTAACCATTCCCACAGACCCCTGGGGAGAGTTAAACGTAAGTCCATAGCTCATCGTTCTAACGATTCAAATATTAACATCATATAAGCATATTTAGGCAAACCAAACATCTGAGCGGTTAAGGTTGTAAAGGTTAACTTGTTTGACTAACGTGGTTTGTATTAGAATTGTTTGATAGTTATAATTTTATTTCAGAATCACAAAGAATCTTAGTTAAAAGTTAATTTAATATTTGCCGAGATAAGCAAATTTAATAATAATGCAAAAAAGAACGCTTTAGCCTGTACTTTTTATCTAATCCCATATAATGGCGTTAATTTTAGCATTGTTTATTCATACGAAATAACGAGTTTAGTCGAATAAGAAATGTAATAAGAAAATTTTAAAGGCAATTTTCGCTTAGTTTTAGGGGGAAGTTTTTAACAAAGAAATCGTATAATAACGAACTCTTATTAGTTTTTTTATTACATGACCGCCCTCTTTGCCTGTTTTCATTTCGGTAGAAACTGGCGCTTAAGAAAGTAATCATACTGTTTGAATATTTTATAAAGTAGAAAATATATTTTTATTCATTCGTTTGACATTTGCGGTAGATAACGCATCTAGGTAAGTTATACGACATAAAAAAATCCTAAAAGTACGGACCCCGCCGGCTTCACCCGTGTTCATATGTTAAGTTTTTACTGTGATAATATACTTGTTAAATAATGAGAGAGCGTTACGGTAAACTTTTTCCTTACTCGACTGACTAATACGTTGCCGTTAGTGCTTATTTCCTATTACAACTAGGGTGTTTTTATTACAAATGAATCTTTCTGGCGGGGTGCAGATCACAGCAGTGAAAACCGCGTATAAATTCGTTCAGTGGTTTTCAAGACTGGCGCGGGTCACACAGCAGTACCGACGTCCGCCAGGGACTTCTTTTTATACTATGTATAAATAAGCGTGGTGCAGCGTAATCGTTGCGATTAGGGAAAAATTCTCCCTTCTACGGTAGAGTCATATCTAGCAGTGTGCTGTTACCTGCTGATGTAGAAAGAAAGTTATAAGAGAAGAAAGTAATATTACTTACTAATAACTGGCTCGATGGAGCTAAGACCTGAGGAAGACGGCTGGCAGCAAGTCGATGCATTCAGAGGGCACTATATGAATGTGCTGGTATGAATGGCTATATAAATATAAGGCCCTACAAGTCAAACAACTTAAAATAGAAGGCATTAGAAACATATTTAAAAAAAATACACTCAGACGTTTCCTGTATATATATCCTCGTACTTAAATTAGAGCTTGGTGACATACTTACGCGTGTTTCTATTTGTTTTCATATTTTACCACACGTAAACATACCATATTTTGTAGATTAATTAATTGTAGCAAAATAACCGCCTAATTTTGTTAGCCTAGCCTATTTTTAAGCTGTCGGAAAAGAACTAACTACTGTTATATCCTGAGCATACAATAAATACCCAGACTAATGACTTGGGTAACATCGTCAAAGATGCGAGTCGTCTGCATCAGAGATTATCAATGTATGTCTGCTAAGGATAATTAAGGTTGTTCCTCCTTGCAATGGGAGAGGTCTTATGAAGAAGGTATTCTGAGCAGCTTTATTCTACTTACTTGTACACTTTAAAACATGCTTTGTCTTAATCGTAATAAAATATTTTTTTTATTTTCAGGGCACAAAGCTATGGATCATAATGGAATACCTTGGCGGCGGTTCCGCGTTGGACCTAATGAAGGCGGGCAGCTTCGAGGAAATGCACATTGCGGTAATCCTGCGTGAAGTTCTGCGAGGTCTCGACTATCTACACTCCGAGAGGAAGCTGCACAGGGACATCAAAGCTGCTAACGTCCTGCTTAGTGAAATGGGCGATGTCAAATTAGCTGATTTTGGTAAGTATAAGAATGAATCAATGTTGATTGCAGCCGTACCTTCTTTAGCTTTCTAGGAAAGACCGCCAATGGATTTTTTTCAGTAAGAAAATTAAAAATGTAGAAAATATTACTTAATTCAAACTAACCTAATAGTTCGCTGTAAATTTCATAGTACGCGAGTAACCCGGATTCGATCCTCGGCGACACCAATAAAATTGTTCAATGCAATTGTCAATTTAAGTGCTAACTTACCACTCGCTCGCCCGTAAAGGAAGTAAACATCGTGGGGAAACCTGTATGTCTGAAAAAATTTCGAAGACATTTAAAGTTCGCCAACACGCATTGGGGTAGCGCGGCGGACATTTCCTTGTCCTAAAATCCTCTCAGAAATGGGGGGTGAGGGGAGGCCTGTGCCCAGCAGTGGGACTTATAGGAGTAATATAGGCTGTAACTTTAAACATCTTTTACTTTAACTATCGTCTCGGGAACCACGGAATGATATTGAGTTGTGGTTACTCCTCCCCCGCCACTTTACTGCTAAAAGTTATTATTAGATATCTATAATACTAAATACCTACCTAAAAAGTTACATGATATGAAATGTTCAACAATGATCTTAAAATGCTACGTGATAGAAACATTTTCAAACATTTTTCAAAATAAGCATTTAATGAAATAATGACGATTCGCATGTAATGTTAATAAAGTTGGGAGAATTTTATTAAATGTTTACTCTTTACCTGTGTCACCGTTACAGCTTATTCAAGTGCACTGTTGAACATAGGCCTCCCCCGTGGATTGCCCCATAGGTATTATTATAATCCCCCAGAGATATTAGCCATAGTTGCCACGTTTGGCAAGCGGGTTGGCAACCACAGTCTTTTAGCGACTTAACTTACTTAGACGCTGCTGCCTATCTCCTGATTTGTTTTTCTCAGTCGCCTCTTACGACACCCACGGGACGATATGGGCTAGTGGATATTCTGACACCACTACTACACGGTAAACCGATACTACAGTTTGTTTACTTAATCTTCTAAAATGTTGAAGTTGAAATGTTTTCAACTTTGATTTCATATTGTAATTCCGATTGTTTTATGTTAGGAAAGTTAATCAGCTAATAAATTTTCGTATAAAATAAAATTGTATTTTACCCAATTGAAAGAGAGAATAATTTTGCCTTTTATGATTTAATTACTTTAAGAAGAAGCTTTTGTGGTGTCTTAGGCTACAGTAGAATTTAATAAATTTTGCGACTAGAATTAAGTTTCAGCAATGTTACATTGGGTGCGTTTGGCAGAAAAAAGCGCTAACAAGCGCTTACAAGCGCTGAAATAGTTTTCGGGCAGGACACGATTGCTACTTCAGTAGCGCTGACACAATCCGCCATTTTGCTTATTTAATTTATTTGTTTTGTAGTAGAGTTTATAAGTTGTTTCTTGCAATATTAGTTTTAAGTAATATAATGACATGAATAGACATATACATGTTATTAAAAATTCATGATTGGTAAGTTTTTAATATGAATACTTCACAAACATATATTTAAATTAGGTTAGGTTCCCCGGTTAAAACTAACATCGTGTCCTAGAGGAAAATAGCTACTTACGATTTGACAGCGCTTACCGCTTACGATCGCCATTTTGCTTACAAGCGCTTGCTAGCGCTTTTTTCTGCCAAACGCACCCATTGGGTGCGTTTGGCAGAAAAAAGCGCTAGCAAGCGCTTATAAGCGCTAAAATAGTTTTCGGCCAGGACACGATTGCTACTTCAGTAGCGCTGACACAATCCGCCATTTTGCTTATTTAATTTGTTTGTTTTGAAGTAGAGTTTATAAGTTGTTTTGTGCAATATTAGTTTTAAGTAATATAATGACATGAATAAACATATACATGCTATTAAAAAATCATGATTGGTAAGTTTTTAATATGAATACTTTACAAACATATATTTAAATTAGGTTAGATTCCCCGGTTAAAACTAACATCGTGTCCTGGAGGAAAATAGCTACTTACGATTTGACAGCGCTTACCGCTTACGATCGCCATTTTGCTTACAAGCGCTTGCTAGCGCTTTTTTCTGCCAAACGCACCCATTGTCTTACAATTGTAACTCAAATATGGAGGCACTGCTGCTAAGTGTCAAAAGGTATATAAACCAAACCCTATAGCACTTGCCACGTCGTATTCCTCACTACTTGGCTTCGCAATACCTATTTCATTTTGCACATTGCACATTATTCACGGTCCTCCAACAAACACACAGATACATATACACAATTTATTTATATCTCGAGTTAACTAACAATGTAAATATTTTTCATTCTAGGCGTTGCGGGGCAGCTGACAAACACGACAAGCAAACGCAACACTTTCGTGGGTACGCCGTTTTGGATGGCGCCAGAGGTCATAAAGCAATCCTGCTACGACAGCAAAGCGGATATATGGTCCCTGGGCATTACTGCAATAGAACTCGCTAAGGGTGAACCCCCCAATTCTGAGTTGCATCCGATGAGAGTGCTCTTCCTCATACCCAAGAACAACCCACCGCAACTCACAGGAAGCTACTCCAAGCCTTTCAAAGAGTTTGTAGAGGCGTGCTTGAATAAGGACCCGGAGAACGTAAGTAATCATATTCCTCCAAGAATCAGAAATCAATCAGAATCGGAATAATTGATAGAATTATAAATATTTAGTGTAATATATTATAGATATTTAGTGCATGCAGTTGAGGGAGGGCGGGAGGTGCTTGCTCTTCAGTCCAGGTAAGACACATCATTGTATTTAGTTAGCGAAAGGTTGCGAAGTAATTTATTTTTTATTAGGAATCGGAATGTTTTTCTTTGTACGACATATTTGACATAGTGTACATTCATAAGCTCTCTAAGAATAATAATAATATTATATTAGTAGCAAGCTCAGAATTATCTACATGTGTTCGTTTATATTTCTTGAAAATAAAAAGCTTAATAAACCGACTATAAATGCGGTGTTTGCTTGTACAAACTTTGTTTTTAAATGTAATGTAACGTATTCAAGTGTAAAATCCGGAGAATTACATTTAAAAACAAAGTTTACCGTTAAAGGTTCAAAATCGTCCACTTTAGAAAAGGTGTTTAGTGCTCTCCACTATACAAACATTCCGTGAGAGGTCGGGATGGAGGGTCTTAGTTCGGGTCAACAAACCTGTCACAAGCTTTGTACAGGCTCAATTCAGGACGGCGACAACACAAACAATTGTTGTCCTAGACGTTCTTTACGACGCGACGAGTTAATTTATTTTTGAAACCTGTTTGTTTATTTTTATCAAGTCTGCCATTGTGAAAGGTATCAGCTTCCAATATTGTTAACATTTGCATAATTATATATGTATATGTTTAGCGTAAGTATATATTTAACGTCTGCTATTTCGTCAAGTTGCGTTCCGTCCCACCACCGATCACTGCTTTTTGTCTATTGTTTTTGTCTAAGCCTATCAATAGCGCCATGGAGCCTTAAGGGGAGGTTTTTGGAGGGTTAAGCCAAGTTTAGAAATTCATTTGGTCAATGGTAATTTGATGACTTGCTCAGTGTACGGTAACCCTCATTCGATGAATGCTTATCTGATGAGTTGATAATTATTATGTGGGGTATCTATATAGTTTTCTCATCTGGTTGGGTTCTATAAATATATAATTATAAATTAAAATGAAAAGATAAATATACATAAATATCAATAAAATAAAATAAATACATAAACAAATAAAATCCCAACCAGATGGGAAGCCCTCGGCAGGGGAGACCAAACGGCCGAGGGTTAGGAGGAAAGCGAAAGAAACCGGCTTATGATGCGGGCGGTATCGAGGAGCACCGCCTTCTGCATTTGAGCCCGGAGCGGTCTGTCACGGAGTCCCAGTCGCCTCAGATGATCCGAGAGGCTGACTGGGATTAGCCCATTCGCAGAGACGACTACAGGAATAATTTCGGCCGGCATACCACCCCACATGTCGGTCACCTCGTGAGCCAGGTCCAGATATTTTGTTCGTTTATCTGTTTCGGCTTTCACGAGGTTCTCGTCATATGGTATGGTAATGTCGGCCAAAAATATCCTTGACTGTGCCCGGTCCATCAATCAGCACAATATCAGGCTTATTCGCAAGAATAGTCCTGTCTGTGATGATGGCCCGGTCCCAGTAGAGCCTGGCGCGGTCATTTTCGAGCACGGCTTCCGGCAAGTACTTGTAATACGGCACTTTACGGTCCACGAGACCGTATTTCAGAGCGAGCTCCTGGTGTAGAATTCTGGCTACTAGGTTATGCCTGTGCAAGTACTCAGAGTTAGAAAGCGCCGAACAACCGGAGATGACATGCCTAAGTGACTCACCGGGATGGCGACAAGCTCGACAAATGTCGATGGTGCCATCCTTTAAGATGTATCTCCGATAGTTGTTGGTCTTAATAACCTGATCCTATATTGCACAGACAAAACCCCCGGTTTCCCCCGAAGAGGTCACCGAAACGTAGCCAGTTTAGGGAGGCGACTGTATCTACGAAGGGCTAATGTAGAGCCCTTTAGTACCTCCCGTGGAGCTCCTTCTCCTTCCATACGGTCTTCCGGTCGGAAATGCTCTGTACTGCCGGGTCCTGCCATTGCTCTTTGGCTAAGGATAGAGGAGTAAGTCCTTTATCACTAGAAATGACGTCATTATAGAATGGATCATCCGATCTCGCCAGGAAGTAATGACGTAGGCGGCACACTTCGCGATCATGCACGGTGAGCGCGCTCAGAAAGCCACGCCCACCATGCTTTAGCGGCAAGTACAGCCTCATTACCGACGATCTCGGATGATGCATATCCTATGGAACGTCGTGGTAGTGCGGACTTTTCTATCCAGGACGTTAAGTTTAGTCTGAGACTACCTGAGTATGCCAAAGGTAGGTATACATGAGGACAGGCATGACCCAACCGTTATATGCGTGTGTCTTATTCACACCGGACAAAAGGCTGTTAAGCACTTTGGTCAAGCGTGCATAAACACGTCGCAAACTGACTGTTTCATACCAGCCTCATCGATACCGATGTTCTGTGACATACCCAGGTATCGGTATGTTTCAGCCTCGGAAAGGGTGCTTAAGTTGACGGGCATAGATAAGTCTATGCCCTCAGAGTTAGCAACCCTTCCCCTTTCAACATGGAGGACCGCATACTTATCCGTCACCAGCTCCATTCTAATAGAATTGCTAAATTCACAAGTGATGTTCAGCAATTCCATAAGATAGGAGCGACTGGAGGCGAATAATTTGAGGTCATCCATATAGAAAAGGTGGGTCACTTTTGTGCACACCTTTCCGAAGCTGAAATCCCCTCCCGAAGCCCTCCAGTAAAGTACTGAGAGGATTCAAAGAGAGACAGAACCAGATTGGGCTCAGACAGTCGCCCTGGAATATACCCCTTCTTATCCCTATGCGGCTTTCCGCAGCCGTCATCCGCTCGCCTAGATGACAGAGAATCGTACTCCAATGCCCCATACACTGCTCGAGGAAGTCTCGAACTGTACAGTCAATCTTGTACAGCTCGAGGACCCTCTTTAGCCATGTATGGGGCACCGAGTCAAATGCCTTTCTGTAATCTATCCAGGCGGCGGAGAAGTTCCGACGGTTGCGTTTCACCACTTTGCCAATGACCGCGTCAATGAGGAGTGGTTCCTTGGTTCCACGACCGCCGCCCCAACATCCATTTTGAGCGCGCGACATCACCTGATTCGAGTCCAGGTGACGAGTGATTCTCGTGCTCAAAATGGATGTTAGTGTCTTGTATATGGTCGGTAGACACATGATGGGGCGGTATTTGCTCGGGTCTGTGGCACCCTGATCTTTAGGAACCAAATGAGTGATCCCGGTAGTGAAGAGTAGCTCGGGAGCGACATTCTGGTTGCTAGAGCTTGCGTGAAAGTCGGGTCATTTTCGAGAAGCGTACTGCGCCCAAACGCCTCATCCAGTAGTGCTGCAGCCCGTTCAAGCTCCTGGTGACTTTTCCATTCGTTCGGGGCCCTACAGACCGCCTCAGCTACGTCATCCACGTTTGACGGTTGGTCCCATTGGGCGTCCCGCACAGCTCGCCGATGTAACTTCACGTCCAAAGGAACAGCACTCGTGGTTTCGGGTTCGTGACATCAAATGTTAGCGCCAGAATGTACGACCGTGTCGGCGTGATTTGGTGCTCGGCCCGACGGTTACCATTGGTCGCTCCAGCTGATTTATAACTCGATGCATCTTCTGATACTCGAAAGACGTCCAATTTTTCCTCCTTTCGCCCTAAAATACGCCCGCAATGCTTTGCTGTTCATTTGAGTTGTCCAACGCATGCGGCGTGCTCCACCAGTGGCGGGTGCCGATTGCTGGGCCTGCGAAGACCCTGCCGACACCAAGCCAGCTGGTGGGGATGATGGATGCGAGGGGCTGCTGGGTGGTCGTGCTTGGCGGCCCTCGCGCTCGTCGGCTGGCGGTTCGCATGCTGTTGCGTCCAGCGCCAGCTCCAGACGCGCCCTGGTGACCTCCAGGCAGCGGGCCTTTGCGCATTCTAGTCAAATCCATCATCCATTTTTGTGGGCGTCATTTAACGGGAGACGCCCAGATCCTCAATAATAATAATTATTATTATTATTATTGATGATGGAGGACGGTCCTTTGTTAAACTTGATACTTCAGCTGCCATTTTATTGTTATATACCACAACAACCACATTTTTAAAATTATTTGTATATTATTATAGAGACCGACGGCTAAGGAGCTACTAAAGTTCCAGTTCATCAGGAAAGCCAAAAAGAATTCGTATCTAATGGACCTGATAGATAGGTATAAGAAGTGGAAAGCTCAGCGGAGCGAGGAAAGTGAGACCGAGTCGGAGAATTCAGATTCGTAAGTATTATTTTATTACTAGTGTAACCAATACGTATTTAACAAAATCATGCAATCCTTTGACGGCATTACTTGAATGGAAGTTTTTATACGGTATTAAACTTTGTATATAATCTACATAATATAATATTTACTGTAATGACAGTATAAGTCTTAGTTGTGAAAATTTGTTGCAATGGCCACACTACAGAATGTTCATGCATGCAGGTTGGCGATTATACTGTACTGAATTGTTTCGACTGAATGGTCTAAGTGGAAATTATTATATAATTCTGTTCAAGAATTTCTTAAATTTGAATGACATAAAAAATCTTACTATCTAACATAAATTTATTCATTATTATTTTTTCTGTAACTACTATTGAATAAGATATTAGACAAACGGACCCATGGATTGTAGTGGATACTGAATTTAGAATCATATTGTCCAATAAAAATAAAATTTCATACTTTGTTGACAATTACTTATAACCTACACAATAAAAGTGATTTGATTTGTTTTATTTCCATTACGAGATAGGCCTTAATTGTAACGTCATAATTTCACCAAATTTTTGAGATTTTTTTGTCCAAAGAGAGTGACATTCTCCAATTGTTGTCACTGTCTTCTTGGACTATCTGTTTGCAAACTTGTAACCTGTGGCATTTTTTGGGGGAGGCTTATTTTCAGCTGTAGACATGTAAGAGCTGAAATGATAATGATAATAATAGAACTGTATTTTTTTTTTGGAGAGATGAGGCGATTTTTGAGCATTGTTTAAGGGATTTTGTACTTACTTGAATTACAATTTTACTAATTGAAGAAGAAGAAGAAATATAATTTCACGCAAGAGATGGAGGATAATCTGGTAGATGTAAGCAGTCGGTATATGCAGGTGACTCAGGACCGTGCTTTGTGGCTTTCTTTGGAGTGGTCCCATGTTTAGCGGTGGAATATTGAATTGACAATGATTAACCGAATACATTTTTTTTCTAAATGCTAGAGATGGTTTTTTTATTTCTGAAGTTACATTAAAATTTTTGTTTAGTTTTTACAAAATGCTTGCTGGCTTCTTTTACAAAACTTTATTTTGCCAATCTGTTTTCCCTTAAATAAAGCCTTTAAAGCTCTTATGAACGACAAAATTTACACCGGTTTTCAAAAACGAAGACCTCAGAGAAGAACTGGTTAGAAACTGGAGTTTTTTTTATTGCCATATTACAGTTTCATTTAAATAAAATGTGTGATTTCTATTAATGTTCTCAATGTTATATCAGTAGCCAGAAGACTTGCAAGTGCTAACTGAGTAATTTTTACATAAAATTGTCCTCCTTAAATTTATTGATATATAGTACGCTTTATTTAAACAAAATTTCTTTAACAAGTTTTATATACGTATTTTATATTCAATTGTTGCACTATATTTTAAGATATTTTATTGTAGACTTTAATGGAATGCTTAGGTTGTGTACATTAAATTAAAATGACGCAAATTAAAAGCAAAAGAAAGGATAAAGATGTTATCTCTTTTTGTGACCATCACATTTCTTGTCCATCGCTATAAAATAACTTACAATGCTCGGCAGGGAGGAAGGCAGCCGGGGTGACAACGAGGCAGACGAACCATGGATTATGACGGTTCGTGGTGGCTCCGGCGCACGCTCTCTCCAGCCCGCCGCCGATCGCCGCGACCTACGCGACTTGTGCGAGAGAGACAGAGACAACGTGCGAGACAGGGACAACGCGTGGGACAGGGATAACGCGCGGGATAGAGACAACGTGCGAGACAGGGACAACGCCTGGGACAGGGATAACGCGAGAGACAGAGATAACCTACGAGACAGGGACAACGCGTGGGACAGGGATAACGCGAGAGACAGAGATAACCTACGAGACAGGGACAACGCGTGGGACAGGGATAACGCGCGGGACAGAGACAACGCGTGGGACAGGGACAATGAGCGAGAGCACAGGCGCGACGACAATGGTTAGTGACACGCAAGTTTTGTGAGCCATTTGGGTCAGTAGTTGACGCCAATCAACTTGGACCAGTTTAAACTTTAATCATTGACTTGAGTTTACATCAATTCGGATGATATGTAAGATTATGGTGAATTATGGGAGGACATTGACTTTATAAATGCTATATTTTCAAGAATGGGCGCTGATACTTGAATTTACAAACAGAGCTGGCTTGTCGATTTGTTGAATTTAGTTATGTATGTGAGAGTTATGCGTGCACATGCGTGCGTATGTTTGTGCCTGCACGTGCATGCGTATGAGCTCGTGCATGCGTATGTGTTTGTGCGTGTGTATGTATATGTGTGTAAGTGAGATGTGGAACGGGGAGTGCTACGAGGATGTCAAAAGTTTTGACATCCTCGTAGCGCTGATGGGTTGACGGTCGGGAATATCACATTTCTTGATCCCTTAAAAATTGAGATCAGTGTCGCCTCTTCTGTCAGTAAAGAGACAAACAACTCCCCTACCCTTGTGTGGTCGTCGTTGTGGCTAAAGGCCTATGCATACGTCGTATTTTTACGCGCCGCCCACGCGCGTTTTCAGTCTGTCAGTAATTAGAGTTGCGTACAAAAATATAAGTTTTTAAATATTCGTGATTAATCTTCGCCGAATACGAATATTCTGTAAATGTCTACTATTCGGCGAATTTGAATATTCATATTCGTATTCGTTGCATCACTAATTGATAATAATTAAAAAAGTAACACTTTAACGTAATATTAATTTGATTTTTTTTTATGTAATTAGTCTACACAAATAAATAAAATTGAAGTTTCTGTTTGTAATGTCAAAATAACAGTTGTGTCCTAAATGCATATGAAAGTATATATAGTACTTATAACAAAAAAACAATGCTTAAAATTTTGGTCTGTTTGTATGTCAAAAATTTTTATTTTGGAAAAAGAATTAGGATTCCGCGTAAAAAATAATTAAAAACTATGAAATCCAATCGCAATAAATTCCACGCGAGTGAAGTCGCGGGGAAGAGCTAGTAATTAATATGACAGAATCTAAAGAGAGTTTTCTGATAAAACTAATAACTGCACTCTAAATTAATGTATTTACTTCGTTTTCATAATTATAGCGATCCCGTCGCCAACGTCACTGTCGGTACCAAAGCAAAATGGCGCGTTAAGTACACGAAATGACGACACAGTGAGCGACGTGAAGCCCGTACCGCTCAACAACAACGCGACGGACAAGCAACCGGTAAGTAATTGTTAATGTGATAACTCGTTTCAAAGAAGCCAAAGCTTTGTAAACTGCCCCGCCTCATCTTGGTTTGAAAAAAGTAAAAATATTCGAACGCAGAACTAAAAGAATTCGAATGTCGGTGACCTCTTCTCTGATTTTATCTCTAAAATGAGTCTAAGGCTTTCATATATCGTTCTCTGATATCGCTTTTGGTAATATTCAGTAGTTGGTGCAGAAGGTATAGTTTTAGAACTCAGAACCCACGAAGATGAGCAAAGTACTCTGATTACAAAACAAAAAGTTGCGCCAGAAATCTTTTAAGTCCACTGATGAACATTAGTAAAGAACTCAAAAAATACTTTTTCTGGTTAACATTGAAACTGTTGACACTGGAGCGCTGTCGAATGTGCGAGACGTCTGTTACTGTGATCGTTAATGAGTGGCAAGCTTGACGATAGCAGCAAAACTTGTCTATGGAAGGAACTTACGATCAGCAAGGAACTGTTCATGCAGTTATGTCAACTATGACGTATATATCGTCTGTCATGAGTAAATATGCGAAGCGTCTATTGTTTAGCGGCGGACTTTTCATAGGGTGTAACAGATGTAAGGCTTTGATATGTCATTGAAGCACAATTTATGACTTTGTCTTTGGAAGGAAAATGTGCAGTCTCCTATAGGGCAGGGTGTTCAGCCCTGGAAGTGGCCAACGCTCCATGTGTTAGAACAGAGCTGTTCTATAAATACTTTGTAAAAAAGACTTGAACTTTGATAGCGTAATTAAGACTTTGGTGCGTTTCGCTTGTCGCGCGACGACAGCGCTGCCACACGGCTCTACTAAGACCTCATCAAGCCCCGCTGACAAACAAGCAGTACGTCTAGTTAAAATACATAACAAGTTTTTTAGGTTTTGTCACCCAGAGGTGTAGGCAGAGACTACTTCCATTTAGCATGATCCTGACACACTTTTCTCACCTCCTTTACATTCATATATCTACGCATACACGTTTGCCGGTTAAGGGTACTACTAATGTGGCGCATTTTCAATATATCGCCAATTTAATCGATAAACCTTCGTCTGAGGCAACTAGACTTTTTTTATATATCGCCAATTTAATCGATAAACCTTCGTCTGAGGCAACTCATCCCGACTCTACTGTTGACATATGCAATATAAATTAACTTAATTTAAAAGAGTGACACTCTACCTCATTCATTCTTTCTACGTGACCAAACCACCGAAGCATTCCTTTCTTAATCCTGGTCACACCATCATCTTGCAAACCACACATTTCTCTTATCACACAATTTCTCACCCTGTTATTCGGATTCATTTAATATTTTTACTGTAAAAAAAGAGGAAAGTTGCATCTATACATCGCAGGGCCAAATTCTGAATGGGTTATGGAAAAATTTATGTGACCGTGTAGAGTGGTGTAAGAATATCCTCTACCACATATCGTCCCGTGGGTTTTGTAAGCGGCGTCAGAGGAAATAAACTAGGAGATGTGCAGCAGCGTCTTCCCTGCGCCTATGGCAAGTATCCCCAATGAGGCAATCTATGGAGAGGATAATGTTCAACTGTTGACTTTTGAAAGGCTGTAATGGTAAGTCAGCTTCCATGCTGTGCATGTTGGCAGACTTTACATGCATTCGGAAAATACTTTCCTTCCCCGCTGAGCACAATGTAGATTAAAATCTCAAAATAAAATATTTATTGTCTTTCATTTACAATCCGAGAATTTCTTTCCAAATGTTCAAAAACTAAAAGAACTTCGCCGTTTTTTTTACAAATTGTGTTGTTCGAAGGCATGTGAGCTCTAGTAATTAATATGTAAATATTTTCATATTTCAGTCACGACAATCACCAATTGTGCAAACGCCCATAGAACAAAGAAACACGAAGGAAAGAGAAAGAGATAGGGGCGACAGAGAAGACAGAAAAGAGAGACAGGAACATCAGGCGTCTAACCGCGATGGCTTAGTCAATAACAAGGCCGTAAGTTCAGATTATTTTCTATATCATTATAATTTTTTGAGATTTATTCTGACAACATTCTTTACTTTATTATTATCGATCATTGTGGCTAAACCATCAAACCAGAGTCAAATAATAAAATAAAATATAAACATAGATGGACATGGGTCTTACCTACTTTTCATTATTAAAAGATCAACCCGATTTTTTTAATAATACATGTATATTTTGTTATTATCAATTAAAGTAATTTTTAAAAGATATTATTAATTCCAGGTTTCCCCTCTGGATCATAGAGGAGCGAACACTGAAGAGAACAAAGTAAAGCGGCATGCGTATCTCCAACAACTTATCTACCCATTACTAAATGAGGTATTTACTGTTGCTTTATTCATTAACTTATGAATGAGTTACATTAGTTCCGGGAATACACTACATTTACATAAAAATTGTCATCTCCATCAATGCAGGCCAGAGATGAGGAATTTTAAACTCTTCGTAAAAACTTGGATATGGCTTGTGTGTTGCCCTGCCACTCACCAAGAAATACGCAACACGTTGCACTGCGGTTTTGTAAATCACTTTTTTACCACTTTAACGTGGTAAAACCGCGATGCAATTATTTTATGGTTGCAGCAGGAATGTGTTGGCTCGATCGGGAAAGGACCATGCTCTCCCAGAATAACGACAATTACCTTAATGTTTACTGACACTCACTATACGAATCACAACAGCATTCGTATGGTAAGTGGTTTTACTACTTTACTTTTTACTGTAGTTCTGACATACTATTTTACTGGCAACGAGGCATTCTCTCTTATAGTCCTCAGGGGTGACAACGCATCTATATTTTGATTCTTAATTGAGAATCCATTTGTAGATTGTGTGCGATTTATTAAGTAGTGTTGCAAAACGCATAAAGTAGGAATACATCACTTGTTACGGGCATCACCACACAGTTTGCAATAAACCGTTAGTGAGTGAATACGTCATTTACTTTTCTAAAATGACATATTAGCAAGTGTGACCCCTTTAAATGACAATATAAAGTTTATGAAATAATTGTGTATTTACCATTTTATGACGTTCAATCTTTCTAAATAGCAATGTATGGAAAATTAATGTTAAATTAATTAAATGAATTAGTAAAATCAAAGAGTTTAGAAATAAATTATACCTCTTTTTAAAGAAGATATTCATTGCTTTATCATTTACTTTAGTAGAGATCGTTTCGTACTAACATGTCCTTTAAAACTGGAAAAAATCGCGATTCGGGACACTTTCTGGGTTACTGAGGAGTGATGTTCATCCGGAAGGGGGGAGGGGAAGTGGATATAGCTTTGCTATATAACGTACATATGCCGACATATAAAAGTGGTCCATTAATTTTCCAATTTTGTAGCTAAAATATTTGTGTTCGTTGAAGTAACAATTGATATGTATTTTGTAAAAGTAAAGCTTTTTTAAAAAAAAAACTAAAGTTACAAACGGACCTACAGTCCACTTGATGGTAAGTGGCTACTGCATCCATGGACACCTGAGGGCTAAACTGTAATATCTCATAATCTGTTATTATATTTGTTATCTGTACCCTTCATACTGAAGTGTAAACTGTTTGACGGCAGAAAATAAAAAAAGTAAATAAAGCTGGATCTCGACAATAGCGCAACCTATCGGGTCCAGTTGTGAATCTATACCATGCAGGGACCAACTCAAACGCGCATCGAAATCAGACCGGCCGTTTAGGAAGAGGGGGTGGGTGTTTTTAATACTATATAAAATTTTGAAGTCAATCCACGATCTAAAAGTTGGTGAAAATTATATTAAAAGGTTTCGTTATTTGTATCCGTTCCGTTATATTCTGATAGATATATATGCGAAGCTAATAAAAACGTGTTAAAAACGATTTGCGATGTTTCTACATCCGGATCCATTATGGGTTCCTGGTAGAAACTTTATTAAATACAATTTTCATTAGTTATTTAATGTGATTTGTAATATATTAAATAACTAGTTGGCTTACCGTGAAGTGGCGGTGTAAGAATATCCACTACCCCATGATGGGATCATAATCCCGTGGGTGTCGTAACAGGTGACAATGGGAAACGAACCAGGAGATGGGCAGCAGTGTCTTTTTTTATAGAAGAGGGGGCAAATGAGCATACGGCTCACCTGATGTTAAGTGACTACCGCCGCCCATGATCAACCGCAACACCAGGAGAATTACGGGTGCGTATCTGGCCCTTTAGAAAGGAGTAAGCTCTTTACTTGAAGGTCCCCAGGTCGTACTGGTCCGGAAAAATCGCCGGTGGTAAACTATTCCACAGAGAGGTCGTACGCGAAAGAAAACTCCTAGTGAAACGTATAGTGGTGGACCGCCAAGCATCCAAATGGTGTGGATGGTATCGGGACATTTGCCGCGTAGTGCGTTCACGAAATTTGGCAGTTGGGATTAATTCGAACAATTCCTCAGAGCACTCCCCGTGGTATATGTGAAAGAAAATGCAAAGAGATGCAACATCTCTTCGCAGCGCCCGTGAATCGAGCAGCAGCGACAATTCGCGCCGCTTTGCGCTGGATGCGGTCAAGGGGAAGGAGCTGGCATTGGGGAGCCCCAGCCCAGAGATGGGAACAATATTCCATGTGCAGCCAAACCTGCGCCTTGTAAAGCTAGTGTAAAAATAAGAAAACTGCGGTGACGAACCCGCTTATGTCTTACGAGGCAATCTATGGGGAAGGTCTATGTTCAGCAGTGGAGTTCAGGAGAGGGTTCAGGAGTCTTATATGCTGTAATGGTGAGGGTAAAACGGATGTATTGCGCAGGTGGTGCGCAGGCGCGGGCCGGGCAACGCGGCGTGCGCGGCCGCCGTGGAGGAGCTGCGACGCGCCTTCGAGCTGGCCGAGCGCGCCGCGCCGCACCTCACGCGCGCCTTCGTGCAGCAGGCACGTGCACCGCACACCACGCACACCGCACATGTACACTGCTAGACCACCTCTGCGCCCTTAGTACATTGCGCACTGAGTTGCGGTCATTTCGCCATAACTTTTTTACTCGAATACGATCTCTACTGAAAGTGCTCTGCACCCTTAATACTTTGCGTACACTTAGTTCAATTTTTTAGAACTCCGCTAATCGAATGCGAGCTCCCCTAGGCGACACATGAGTAAAGAAACTAACCAGTGGGGAAGCTACGAGTACATACAAACGGCTCGCTGCGACTTTACCCTTACATAGCGCAGCGATGTGTGCGTGAGCTCTCACCGACAGGTTCACCGTCACTCCGTCGGGGTACAAGCCGGTTTGCGCCGGCTCAGTCAGAGTATCTTTGAAGGGGCTGTTAGTCGTGCGCATTTAAATAAATGGAAGAACAATATTTCGTGATTTTATAAATCAATTTTTTTAATTTATTTTTTACTATTAGAGTTAAGTTTAGAGATTGTTTATTATAAAATAAGCCATTATAGATTTATATCGATAATTAGTGTTCTGTATAGATTAATGCCTAACATTTGTACAGTATGTATAAAAAGTCGAGACAAAATAATACAATTGCCAGACAGTGATGAAGGTGGTGTTAGTAGTAGTGATTCTAGTGTTGGTGGTAGTGGTGTAGTTGTTGGTGGTGGTGCTTTTAGTGTCGTTGTTGGTGGTGATAGTGGACCACCACCAACACCGCCGCCACTAATACTACCACCACGACCAGTATCACCACCACAGTCATTACCACCACTGCCCACTACCACTATCACAGCCATTACTACCACCACCTGATTTTTAGTACTCATGAATACTTTGTCTTACGAAAATGATTTTTTTTAACGTTACCCCTACACTAAGATGTTCTCTTGTATCGTGGGGGCAGTTTACAAACATAAATTGCACAAGGGCAAACATCCAGACCCGGAACAATTATTTGTAGGCCTTACAAATACTTGTTCCGTGCGGGATTTGAACCCGCGATCCCCAGCGCAGCCACTCATTGCTAAGCCACTGCGCCACGGAGTCGTCAATATTATATAATATTGATATAATTATATAATATGAAGGTTTTCTGAAATTCTGTGAGAATATTTATTTCCTTAAAATTCTCTCAAAGAGATTCGCGGTTTTTAATTATAAATTGCACGTATTTTCTCAATATTTGCCGCTTTACCCTACAGCAAGATTTCATAAGACGTAATACTTACTATGAAAATTAGCAAAATATACAATTTTTGCATATTGCACATTATATTAAGTTACAATGAAATCACATGTGGTTTTATACTGTATAATATTGTAAATTGTTCTTATTTTTTTCTAATTCATCAGGTGACAACCCTATCAAAATAGGCATACAATTTCGACGTTGTTAGGAAGCTTTCCCTCTGGTTCTTACTCTGTGCTAGGCGGGCTATGCACCTTTAATAAAGGGTGTCCAGCGGGAATTTTTCAACTTTAAAGTGCAACTGTCGAAATAATAGCGGGGTGAGGTGGGCAGGAGGGGTATCATTGAAAGTGCGGTACTTGCGGATTTGTTAGTAGCCATGAGTCACTGGACAGGAGCGCACCGCTCGTTCGCGGTTGAGCAATATCTAAAGAATAGTGAATCGTTGATTCGCACGCGTCGAATGTTTTGTACTCATTTTAATATTCGGCGTTTAAGTGATGGGCCGAGCACGCAACTTATCTGGTCGTGGGTACAAAGATTTAGGCAAGAAGGGACAACGCTCAACAAAACTCCTCCAGGACCATCGACATCAGCAGCAACGCCCGAACGTGTGTCTGAAGTTCGAAATGAAATCGTTAAAAATCCACGCAAGTCGATTAGGAAAATTGCAGCCTCCACAGGAATCAAAAAGTCAACAGTGCATGTTATTTTGAAGAAGAAATTAAGACTCCATCCATACAAAATGCAAATTGTTCAGAGTCTCAAAGAAAGTGACTATCCTTTGCGAGAAACCTTCGCGAGAACAATGCTGGAACGCTTTCGAACACCTACCACGTTGGCAAACATTTTGTTTAGTGACGAAGCACATTTCCACATTGATGGATATGTAAATAAACGGAATATGAGATACTGGTGCCCGAACAATCCAAGAGAACGCCACCAAAAACGTTTACATTGCTTGAAAACTACAGTTTGTTGTGCCATTTCGGCTAGCGGTATAATTGGGCCCTATTTTTTTAACTAAGGAGAAACAGTCACTGCTCCGGTGTATTGCCGTATGATAGACGAATTTCTGCTACCGCAATTACAGCTGTATGCAGGTTATAACAATAGGACACAATTTCAGCAAGACGGTGCCACTCCGCATACAGCTAGGGTGTCGATGGAAAAGTTAAGAACAATTTTTCCAAATAAACTGATCAGCAAATACGGAGACATCTCATGGCCACCCAGGTCACCCGACCTCACGCCCTGTGATTTTTTTTTATGGGGATACCTTAAATCGAAGGTCTATGAGAACAATCCCCGGACAATTCAAGCCCTGCAGGCCAATATTCGTCGTGAAGTTCAAAGCATTACTCCAGACCTTGCCGTCGCGTGATTGCAAATGTAAGGGTCCGACTACAGGAGTGCGTACAAAAAAACGGTCATCATTTAAATGATATAGTGTTTAAGAAATGAAATCCGCATTAATTTTGTACATTTTGTTTTAATAAAAATAAATAAAATCTATGTAGTTTTTTTTATATGACATTTTAAAGTTGAAAATTTTCCACTGGACACCCTTTACTTTACGCACTTAGTTCAATAATCTGTAACTTCTTTAGCTTAAGAACACTAGTTATTTGTTTTTTAAACGAACGTTGTTACGACGATCTAACACTGAGTTTTTTTAAATGTGTCTAATACAATGCCCTTCTTATTTATGTGCACGCTTTGTCAATATGATTTCAAATTTCTTTCAGATAAATATACATAACTTTATTTCGTATTTACCTTAAAACAGTAACTGTCGTAAATAAAATTACCGTCCAGCCCATAGAATACTATAATACATACACAATAGAACGGGGGAGTGGGCGGAGCCCGCGTAGCCACTAAAATGTCACTAACACGTATAAATGTCAACACGAGATATGTTTTGATGTTACTATCGTTTCCAAATTTCGCATGCAAATTATTTAGAAAATGCCAAATTGTACCATATTTACAAGTAAATATGTATTAAATTATAAACGATTTTTTTAATGAAATTTTTCAAGATAATCTTGAACATTAATCAAAAGTCTAAAATGTGTAAATTTACTCAGTCTGTCAACACAGCGAATCGGGTTTGGCGACGCCAATCCTCGTACAAAATAAAGTTGACAGCCATTCTATTGTTTATTATAGTATTCTATGGTCCAGCCAGAGCCCGCGCGATACACAGCTGTGACACAGTCTTAGTTCTTAATTGCCGGTCTAGTAGTATACATAGAAGTCCGACTGTAATATATAATATATCTCACATACACCTTCGTGCATTGCATTTTGCTACATAACACTACTACGTTACAAACACAAACAATTTCAAATTTTTCAATTATATCGGTTATTGTTTTCTTATATTTGTGTTTGTATACAGGTCGTACAGAGGGTGGCGAAACAATCACATCAACCTTCTACGCCTTCACACAACACTTCCCAGCAGTGGATGACGTAGGTATGTACAGGTATAATGCTACCGTAGAAACGTTCATTATGTGTATTACGTGTTAATAAGGATGCGGGACCACATATAAAAACTAATCGCTCAGTTTTCCTGTTGAGCGGAGATAGTAATTTCATTAAGAAATAAACTAATGACTTTACAGGTCTTCTTTATTTGGCGTAATTATATTTTGAAATATCGTCATATTGTACAAATATTGAATAAAGTTGATGTTCCGAAACTATACTATTATGTTTTAGCTTATTTGGATGTATTATACCAAATTTATTTGAATTATGTCATCTTAAATTATTACATTGTAAATATTTCTATTGAAAAAAGTAGTTATTTTTGGCCTTACTTATAATCGTTGATTTTTACTAAGTTTATTCATTATCTTCTCATTTGTGCCTTTTTATTGTCATTTAATAAAATAAGAGAGAGAAATTAAGCATTTCTTATACTGACAAAACCCTTTTTAATCCTTTTTTTATCCAAAAAGAGTTAAATTATTACCTCCTCAAGTATAGCTTAAAACTTGAAAACAAAAGTTTACAATCAGTTAATTACATAAGGATCTGAGACATAGGCTATCACTGCGGGCAATATGAGTAAGCTTAAGTTGGATCAGTGAGCTAAGGAGAGGGCATTTCTTGCGTCATAGATTTCGTAATGAGTGATGTAGAACCTTAATAACCGACACAGCACAACAGATCAGTAAGTTGAAGTGCCGCTTCTTAGCCGTATGAGGTCATTTCACACAAAGTATTTGTTTGACAAGACAGTGGTTTATAGCGATGCTAGATTCCGATAGGTGGCGCTTTAGCCAAGTCGTTAACAAATCCTAAATTAACGGAACTCATCGTCTTATACTCACAATAAATCTGAATCCCATTGGTGATCGACTTATTAACAAGTCCGTAGTTAAACTGATCGCGCCGTCTACCAAAACGAGCAGAACGACATCTGATAAGTCAGCTGGTTACCTTTATAGCACATCAAAGTCCACTATTGAACTATGGCCTCGCCCATTGCTTGCCTCTTAGGGGAATTTGCCATAGTTTCCACGCTTGGTAAGCGGATGGGCTGCCGCAGTTTATTTTTATTTTTAGTCGTTATTAGGAAGACGTTGCTGCCTATCTCCTGATTTGGTCCATTCTCTCTGACGCCTTTTACGACACTCACGATGCATGATATGAAGTAGTAGATATTCATACACCGCCACTGACAAGACGCTATTTTTTTTTAAATATAATTACAGATGACATTAAATTATTAGCTCATGAATATTTAATTTAATCAAAATTTCCACCAGGGACCCGTAACGGATCCGGATGTAGAAACATCGCAGATGAACTGGGGCTCCACAGTGCTCGCTTCTTCTACGCGGCTGCGGCGGAACAACACGCTTAGACTGAACACCAGGCAAATTCACCCAATAGAAATATCACAAATAAATAGATATATAACGAAAATTATAGATACATAAAAATGTTAATACCAAAAATAATAACGATAAAAACATCATGATATCTCACATTCCGCGAACACTACATATTGAATAAAACTACTTTTACGGATTTTATCTCGTTTAATTCTACTAATTTTTAATTCCCGAAGTTTCTAGTGCTTTGCAATACCCATGGTCACGGGGGACTGGACGGACAGTAGAGTTAACCCGATAAAATCCGTAAAAGTAGTTTTATTCAATGATAAAAACATTTAGAATCTTTCATGTAGAAATAAACGAACGCCAAATGACAGCAATCATCTTTCTACTTGTACTATGTACCTTCATGTAACATAAATTATTCATTGTTTCATTGTCTGGTTAAAATGTTTTCATTCCTCCGAATTCTTACGAATTATTTTTGAATTATTGATGTCTAAACTTCGTTCCTAATATCTAAGATTTCCTGACATTTTGACCATTTTTGAAATTATTCTAAAATCAAGTAACTTAGTGCTTTAACGACTAGTTAATGGGCTTTAAGGCTAGCTACTGCTAGTTGCAGGTTTTTTCATAGGATGTTGTTTATAAAATTAGTATATAGTGTGCTCCTACTAACTTAGTGACTAATTAAAATGGTCTTTAGAGTTAGCTACTGAAATCGCAGGCTATTTTCATAAAATGTCAGTTTTAAAGTAAATATAAAGTGTTATAAAATTAAACGGGTAACGAAGTAAACACTGATATGATCTTAGAAACTAATCAACCTACGAGGAATTATTTTGGACCTGAAATACTAATTTTTTACATCTATTAATTAAATCACAACCATGATTTTTATAGTGGTGTCTCGTCATATGCGAGTTTATTATGAGATTTATTAGCATGATGGATTTTATTACGCCGCCATTACATTGTAAATGTGTTGCTTTACTACATTACTTGAGGCAGAGATAAACTGATCCCACGTACGAAACTTATGCAACGTATTATGACATCTGCATGCTTGATTTTGTATGAAAACTATACATTAGATTCACTCTTATCAATATGCAACGTAATCACACCCGTCCGACGCAATGTCGATCTGTGATGTCTAGATCGGCATGGGAAGGTGGAGGGGATGTTTGCACGCAACCCCACGCGTACGAACAGTGTGTTCCTAGAACTCGATATTATTTGTTATTAACGTGAAGGGGAGAGACTTTTTGTATTTTTATCCTAGTTATATTAAGATATGAAACATGATTTTATAAATATTGCGAAAATAAGACATTGTATGTTATAATATTTATGCAGTATTTTTCAAAACGCTCCCGAAAAAGAAGACAGACGATAGTACCAACGATACCTTTGCATTTGAGACCAAAAGAAAATGGATCCCTATAAAAAAAAATCATCTTTTCACAACGTTTTATTAGCTTTATTCACGCTCTATCATGTTAGTACAGCTAAATGAAACAATAATTTCATAAAAAATTTCATAAAACTACTGAAAAATGAAACCAGCAGGGAAAATTAAAATGGTACCAGCTGATTATAGGGTCAAATAAACGCGCGGACGCTGACCTCTTTTATCTAGCTCCGTACGAAAGAATGCATTAGGCGTAGACAGAGAAACCTATAGACTAATGATTAACGTGGCCTAGAATAAGAAAGGACGATAACGTAATTTTAGGTTATACAAAAATCTTTACGACTTTTAAACATATTTAGATAAAATTTTTAATTGTTCTAAGAACTGAACTGAACAAGATTCACCAATATTAAGCTTACAAAACACTTTTTTCTCACTTAAACCACATTGTAAGCTCCTTAGATCGCTATGAACTGTCAAAGTTGCTTAGCAAAGTGTAGTTTGCTAAACAAAAAAACCGGCACGGAGAAAGGGACAAGCAATCACACCGCTCTGTCTCATTTCTATGTAAGACATTTGCATAAATCTATCTTTTTCGTGTGCGAATGCGAAAGAAGGCGTCAATTTGTCTATAGGTTTCTCTGTCTGCGGCATTAGGTGTTACTGTAACTTCGCTCACTCTACCCTTCCCTTTCACACACGCGCTGACGCCGCTCGCCCGACTCGTGCCGCCTCGTTGTGGTAGCGGCGGGCTGCGGGCCGCGTGTATTCGGCGTCGCGCGTATATTGACCCCTTATCAGTTGATGTTAGGTATTTGAAATTTCACTGCTAGTTTTATGTTTAAGTTTTTCCATTTTTTTTTTATGAAATTATCGTTTCATTTAGCTGTACTAACATCATAGAACGTGAATAAAGCTAATTAAACGTTGTAAAAAAAGTGATTTTTTTGTTCATCGGCATCGAATTTCATTTGGTCCCATCATCAAAGGTATCGTTAGTACTATCGTCTGTCTTTGTTTTCGGGAGCATTTCACAAAGACCTAAGAAGATACTAACAAAACTAAACGTTTTCTTTGTGGTTAGGATATATTCAGACTAAATTATTCTCAAACTCACTCTCAGTATCAGAAAAGATGGTATAAATTTATAATCGTGCGTTCGCTAAGAAATGACAAGAGTTTCTGACGCTGGTGCCAAACGTATATTTCATACGTAGCCCAAGTGTGTACAGTGTACACCAACGTGGGAGCGTTGCATCGCATACGTTGTATACGTGGGACCAGTCTGTTTCTCTTCTTACTTTTCTTTTTTGACAATTGATGTACATGAAAATTATATTTAAGAGTTATAGATAAGGAGAAAACCTAATTTTAGCTCTTGTCCTTATTAGCACATGTAACTTTACCATTTTGCGTTCGTTTTAAAAAAAATTATCGTATATTTTTGTGTGGTGTTGGTTTACAAAAAATATATATATTGAGTAGATATTTAAAAAAAACTATCAGTCAGTCTGAGCGACACCGCCATGTAGCTACGTTCGAGTCACAAAGTTGCAATGCCATAGTGTAATAAAATATCACGTAATAATTACTTAAGATGGTTATTATAATATTTTATATTTTGTGCATTATTTATGTAAATATTCACTATTTGATTTCATAATTAGACAACAACGTTGAAATATTTCATTCTTGGAACATGTAGTATTTTGGCGCGCGAACGTTAAAGATAGGGATGTGCGTAGTTGACAGCACTTTGTTATCGATATACGCCTGACATAATCATATTATTATAAAAGAAGTTGTTCAATTATCATATTTGTGGAATGATTGATATATAAAATCTACGGTTTTATTTTATCACATACTGTTTTGATTTTGAAATCATCATTATTATACCTTGGTTACCTAACCATGTGATTTTACCAGTTCTAATTGTAAAATGTTCTCCGATAGCTCAGGAGATAAGATTAAAATTTCAAAAGTACTCGATCAAATGGAGTTCTAACCTCGCCGACACCAATTTAATTGTAATTAAAGAGCAGGTTGTATGTCCGAGGAAAAAATATTTCGAAGTTATTGAATTCTGTCAACACGCAACACGCATCAAAAACCAGAGGAGACATTGCCCAGCTGCAGGATGTATATAGATTGTCACTTTTTATCTAATTGCGTCTTTGATTGATACCATTTTTGCTTACAGAATTTTATACAATGTTTTTGCGCTGAAGTAACGCATGTCCCAAGAATTCTGGTAGCATTGACAGACTTAGTCTAAGAGCTACATTTGCTTTCGCTAACGTATTTTTATGTCCTGTTTAGTTTAAATGCAGAGTTGTTTTGTTCGATTTTGTACTCCTCACAGTGTTTGCAAAGCGAGCGGTCACTTGACCGCATATTTATGTATTCACCGTGAGTCACCTTTATTAGTATAATTTAGCAGCGTCTGTTTGTTGTGTTGTGTGCTCGGTTGTTTGCAACGGTACAATTGGATGTTTTTGTAACTTAAATATTTGTGGAGAGCTAATACCTACTTCGCCAATATTTTGCCATAATTTTTCTAAAATTATTTTTTCTTTTACTAACACACAGTTTTAATTCTTTTATTTTTAGTTTAGCGTCTGATTGATTTGTTATCAGTTTTCTAAATTCTAATATTTATTTATAATTTTTTTAGAAATTGGTGAATGAAATTTTGTAGCGTTTTTTCTTTAGTGTCATTCCAGACAAAAGACAATGTTGTCGGCATTTATAGAATATTTGTTTTGTTGAATTTGAACTTTTACTTGTTTCCGATGTAAGCGAAACAGCCGTTCAGTGTCCAATGGTATAATGTTGTTATAAATTTTAATAGTTTAGTTTTTTGAAAGTTAGCTCTTAGTATTTTGGTTATTTGGTCGGTTTGAAATGAAAATGTGACTAATATATTCTAAAACAATAACAGTGTTGCAAACATTACACCCTAATCATAATAACAAACAACATAAATGAGAAGATGAGAATAGATTATTATCTGTAGTATTTTGTGAATTAAAAGTATTCTGGCACCAATGACCATTCGGTGTCCTTATAAATTAGAAAAAAAAACACATGCTTAATATGCGACAATATTTAGCAATTGGGGTTATATAGAGTATATAAATATGAAGACTATAAAACAATTATTATTGCTGTGTAAAAATGTAAACCTATAATATAAATGTGTAAATTGTGTAGTATAATATAAAGAAAGCTGTTTTATGAAGTGTTCTTAAGCGTATGGAAGTTAGTCTTTCGATAATCTATCTTCGCGCGATTTGGAGTGGAACCCATATTGTTTATTACGTCTAGTTTTTAGTTCCCAGAATTTCTATGCTAGGCAAGTTCACTGGATGCCTCTGATGCGTAGTTAACAAGTTACGGTCATGGGCGGAGCTAGGGGAGGAAAGCAAAGGGCGATAGTACTGTGAAATGCAATCATAGATATTCTTTAAATGTACTATATTTTCAACCTTGATCCTAGCTGCATCCGAGACCTTGATGGGTTTCGCTCCCGAAATGCGTCGCGTTTGCCTTGTAATTTCCTTTTGTTTTGCCATGTGAACCACGCATGGAAGATGTTACGTT